CATTGTGTAGCTGCTAAACCCTGCTTGTGGTGCATTAACTGCTTCATTGATGATTTAACACATCTGACGAATCAGCATAAACCATGGGTGAATTTAGCCAGTTAGAGGCAATCAGTACCTGTGAATTAGCTGCTATAGGCAGTGATTCACAGTGCTAAGATATTAAGTGAAACTTAAGTTTTTATAAGGCATTTAAAAATAATAATAAAAAACTTGCAAACGTCAGATGCTTGCATGAAGAAATGGACCTGCCCTGCAGGGGAGTGTGCTGAAGAGGGCCATGCACAGCAACACGATGGCTTGGGACTCCAGGTCTGGAAAGGGTTTCAAAATTCAACATTTACATCCTTTTTCTCTCTTTTAAAATACAGCCTGTTGTCAGACGTGGCCTGCAGAAATCAGAGGTTGCACTGCTTCATTTTCTGCAGCTTTATGCAGGCATTCAGCCTTGGCTTGAACTCAAGGTTGGGCACCCAACGTGGGGATGGTGGCACTGTGGATCAGTGCGATGTGGCCAACCTGCACCTGAGTCTGAGGCTCATGGGTGGGGAAAGCAATGAACCCTGCACCATGTCCCAAAGGATGGGCAATGCCCTCTCCCCACAGCAATGGCATCCAGGACCATCTGGTCTACAGAGACATGCCACACTTAAGCACCTTAGACATCAATGGAAAAATATTCCTCATGCTGGGCTGTGCCTGGTGGTGGGGACGCTGTGTGCCAGCCAGGATCCACTGTCAGAGCTGGGGTGTGAGTTATCCTAATGGTGCTGGCACCCCCTCTGCAGCCCCAGAGGACTCAGGTCCCCATCCTGCACTGGGGAGCGTGGGCACTGGCTCACCCAGGGAGCAGAGCAGCACTCACCATGCTTGCACCTTCAGCAGGCTCTGTCATAGAATGGTTTTGGTTGGAAAACACTTTTAAGATTTTTAAATGTTTATCTATTAATGATTATAAATTAATAAAGGGCGAGTGTCAGGAGGAAGGAGCCAGGCTCTGCTCTGGGATGTCCAATGCCAGGACAAGGGGCAATGGTCCCAAGCTGGAGCACAGGAGGTTCAAGCTGAAGATGAGGAAAAGCTTTGTGAGTGTGAGGGTTATGGAGCATGGCCCAGGCTGCCCAGAGAGGTTGTGGAGTCTCCTTGTCTGGAGACACCCAGACCCCTGACGTGTTCCTGTGTGACTGCCCTGGTGATCCTGCTCTGGGGGGTTGGACTGGATGATCTCCAGAGGGTCCTGCTAACTCCTGACATCCTGAGATGCTGTGATTCTGTGATTCTAAGTCCACCACTAGACCATGTCCCTAAGCACAACATCTCCTCATCTTTTAAACACCTCCAGAGATGTAGAATCAGTCTGTCCTCCTGACACAACCCAACACCCCCTCACGCCCCACCACACCTGGAAGGGCCCCTCCTCTGCCCTGCAGGTGTCTCCACCACACGCTGCTCTTGCTCACACTCCATGGGCCATGGGGCCACCTCAAAGGTTGTGCGTGATGGGGGGAAGTAACGCTCCAACAGCTCCAAGATGGATGTGTGGGGATCATTCACCACATGCCCCAGCTGAGAGCAAGAGGGTCCACATCCCCATCTGGTGAGACACACAGGGTCCTGGGAGCATTTTGGCTTCAGGAGCTGACCCTCCACTGTCCCACAGGTCCTTGTTGACCACCACAGCTCATCATGGACCATGACACATGACCCTGGCTCCTTGGGACACACATTGACCAGGTGCCCCCCCGACAGCAATCCCAGCATCTCCTGTGCTGGCTAACAAGACTTGACCAAAGCCATGAGCAGGTTGTTTCTATCTGTAGCTGTAGTGGTAAGACCAGGCTCTTCAATGTCTGTATTTCATTGTGGCTTTGCCTCTGGGAGTGGTCCTGGCTCTTGAGTAGGCTGAGAAAAGCACAAGGGTGCCTTATGCACGGCTTTCATTTTACACAACCGCAGCCCAAAACAGCAGCTCAGTAACAAACGCTTCCTCTTTTGCATCCATTACACCACGTTGGGACAGTGGCCTTTGGGGAGGACCCTAGCATGGAGCTGCATTGCCAGACCATGAGATGCACAATTTGAGAGACCTGGGCAGAGGTCTGCTGGGGTCTGGGCTCATGAGGTGTTGGGACACTCGTTCTGACCACTGAAGGAAGATGCTTTGTAGCCTGGGCTGGCAGCAGCCTCTGGAGCCTTGAGCTCTAGCCAGGACATTGGTACCACTCTGGGGAAGACAAAGGCCTTCAGTGCCGCATGAGCCCTGCACTGCATCCATCAGCACACGTGCCCCACTGTAGCATCTGCCAACACCTCCATGGAGCAGCCAAAAGGACCCTGACATCCTGCACAGCACAAGCAGCATGGGACACAACCTGGTCACTAACTTGTGCTGGCTGTGACACCAGAACTGGGGGGGTTCAGCCTGGAGAAGATGATACTGAGGGGAGGGAAGACCTTATCCCCTCTGCAGCTCCTGAAAGGAGGAGGTAGCGAGGGGTGGTCAGTCTCTGCTCCCTGGTAGCTGTGATAGGACAAGGGGAAATGGCCTTCAGTTGTGCCAGGGGAGGTTTAGGTTGAACATGAGGAGGAATTTCTTTCCTGAAAGGGTTGTCAGGCACTGGAAGGGGCTGCCCAGGGAGGTGGTGGAGTCCCCATCCCTGGAGGTGTCTAAAAGATGAGGAGATGTCATGCTTGGGAACATGGTCTGGTAGTTGACTTAGGGCTGGATCGATGGTCGGACTCAATGATCTTAAAGGTCTTTTCCAACCAAAACTATTCTGTGATTCTATGCTGCACATGGGGACACTGAGACCACACAGCAGTGCTGCAGATCTCAAACACATGGCACTGCAAGGATGTGAGCACCCCACACACCCCTCCAAAAGCTGCTGCCAGGCATCCCTTGCACTGCAGCACACAGCGGTGTGGCTGGTCCCTGGTCACTGCGCTAACCAGGGCTCATCCACTTGCAAAGCACGTGTTGTGCGTGGCAGGATGGGGACAGCACATCTGCACGTCAGAGCTGCTCATCGGTGTACAGCACCACGCTCCAGCAAACCTTGGCACAATGCATTGCGCCATCGCAATCGTCACGCAGCCCATGCAACGCCTAGGGTGACGCCAGCGCCCCGTAAGACCCCAGAGAAGACCCCAGGGACTTCTGCCATATCCCAAGGGGTTTCAGCATCCAGCACCATGCTCTGCCACCCCACTCGTGGAGGAGAGCCACAAACACCGGTGGGACATGGAGCAGGGTGGTTGGTGGCGGGGGGGCGGGGTGGG